ACACACACACACACACACACACACACACACACACACACACACACACACACACACACACACACACACACACACACCTATTCTTATGCTACATCAAGATGATGTCGTAGCTACAACAAAACTTCGAATTTCTCATTTTCAATAGACAGCTTGTCTTTTCTGTCTCGCTTTTTTAAAACATAAGTCAGTGGCATCAATGTCACAACTGCTGCTACACCAACCTTTAAAAAAGCCACAAACCGCCACCGTTGTTACCACTATTAATGCCTTGACATTCTTTCTAAGTAGGGCCTATTGGAATACTGAAAAAAATAACACGTATTACTGTTTAACTCGGTTTCTTCAATAGGTGTGATAGTTGACTTCATATTCGTGCAAAATCATATTGCCTTGTCGTTTTAACTGCATAGGTCTACAATTTAACCAGTTTTAATTCTTTAACTCTTTCCAGGAATCATATTATCTGAGTCGTCTATTTTTAGTCAAGTCCCTCCCTCCCCGTGACTGCTTGACGCCGAGGTTTCACGCTAAGAGCCACTTGTGAAAGATCAAGAACATCGTACAATCCACCGGCCAACGTATATCTAGGGTCTAGAACTTGATCTCTAGATCCATACAGTAAGCTATATCAAGCTTTTTTTGTGAAGTTAGAACTTTCGAAATAAAATTATGGCCAAGTGTCAATCTGGAACTTTTACGACATTTTTTTTCCTTTCAATACTGTGGAGGATAACATGCGCTCAGAGCCTATCGGACGTCGTAGAGTCAGATCAAGAAACTTGTTACTGTGTCCAAGAATTGCTGTATGGGTTAAATGGGCCGCTGTCCATGTCTTTCTATCTCGAGAGTGGTGTCCAGATGGCCGTTGTGGTGGAGCAGATGGGCATAGCTGGGGTGTACAGCATGAGTGGACAGAGGGTCCGACCGTTTCTGGACATCAGTAGTAGAGTGGTCATCAGTAATGACAACGGAGAGAGCCGTGGACTATTGTCGCTGGTGTTCGATCCTCTCTTTAACGGCACTGGAAATGTTTACGTATACTACATAAGGTAAGTCTGTGACAAAATATTGTCGATAAAAATCTCATATACATAATACACACATAGTGGTATTTTACCCAAAAGGCACCTGCTTTGTACTCAGTGTGTCTGTATCATCCACAGCGGCAACTTTTAACTGAGCCTCTTTCTTTTTGTATGTAAAAATCGCGTGGCTCTTTTACCTTTGAGCTTTCTTCTTTGATGGTCTCCGTGTTTCATTTGAAATCAAAGATCCACTTCTATTTCAGAGACACAAGGGGTATAAATTTATCAAGCAACGAGTAGAGCACATTGCCTTTTGCACGCTTTTTGCAAATTGTTAAAAGGACTTTAACTTTTTAGATCATTACGTTACTTTCCCGACGCACTTTAACCGTGTGTCTAAAACAAAAGAGGACCCAGTTAAACGGTAATGACTCGGCCATCGTTATACCAATTTTAATAAAACTTCTCAGATATAATATTCAATCTTGAGGGCGTTGCATTTGTCATTATGAAAAAACCAATCCATATCTTCGAAAAACATCACATTCTTAAATCCAAATTTGACTGAAACGCAAAACTTTACAATTTCTTAAAAGTCAACCATATTGTTTTATGTCAAATAGTCACTATTTGTGCATTAAAGAACAAACTGATACAGCATTCATATTGCTAATCAAACTCAAGTAAGGTGGTTGCAATTTAAATCTTCAGGTGTAGACTATTACTTTCCATACAAGCTCCAATACGCCACTGGAAATTTTTAATATCCCGGTGGCATGTCTGAGTCGATTCTTTGGACGTCTTGTTGAGCAATGAGTTTCAACTGTTCGATTGTTTGTGGGTTGTTTTTTTAGACTCTGTCTATCAAAACAAGCAACGCTAAAGGCAATAATTAAAGAGGCTCAAGTTGGGGGAATGTGATAATTATTCATTTGTGAATTTTCGGCGTATAAGGTGTTCACCAAACCTTTCTTGCTATCATATCAGGGCCACTTCTGGTGTGTGAGTTGTGGCCTCACACAACTGTGAACAGGCTTAGGCTTGTACAGCACAACCATCCCCCCCCCCCAATCTTCTCCAAAATTTTCTAGGCACATTTAACATTAGATAGATAAGATAAGATAAGATAAGATAAGATACATCTTTATTGTCCAGATCCTGGCACATTGGTTTGGTGTTCCACCACGTGTACACACACACACACACACACACACACACACACACACACACACACACACACACACACACACACACACACACGCACACACACAAACACACACACACACACACACACACAAACACACACATGTACACCCGTGCACACACATGCACACACAAGTAGGCTTACAATCACATGCATAATATAAATGAGCAGCAATATAAACAATAATAATCGTAAGCTAGATACACACTCTATGTTATTTTGATGCATGCTCTTAGGTCGTAAGTACACTAAACAAGATGGTTAAGATGGAAGCATTTTGATAGATGATGGTAAAAATGACCTTCTGTATCTTTCTTTGTTACAGATCAGAAGCATGGGTCTTTTATTTCTGACTGATGTTTTTATTTGAGGGCACAAGGGATGTTTGTTGTCTAGAAAGATGGAATTAATTTTCTTAGTGCAAGCTGTTATGTACAATTCAATGTACAATTCATCCAAGTAGGGGAATGAAGATGTTGAAATTTTACATGCTTTCCGTATTAGTCGATTTAATTTTTCTTTATCATGTTGCCTTGTGTTCCCGGCCCATGCTGTTATACAAAAATTGATAATACTTTCTATGGTTGAATGGTAGAACATGGACATCAATGTTTTATCAACTTTAAAATACTTTAGCTTTCTTAGAAAAAATAGTCTTTTGTTCACTTTTTTATGCAGGAGAGAAGTGTGGACACGCCAGTTGAGTTTGTTGTCTATTGTAACACCCAAATACTTATAGTCTGACACTTGCTCGATGTTTTCACATTTCATTTTGAGTGGCTGCAGGGGCAGTTTCTTTATTCTAAAATCAACGACAAGTTCTTTTGTTTTTTTCACATTTAAAAGCAGCTTTTGATTTTCACACCATTCAGAAAAATTAAGTACAAAATTCCGGTAAGCGGTTTCGTTATGGTCAGCCTGAATTAGCCCAATTATAGTTGAATAATCTGCAAATTGTATCAACTTGATGTTACTGTTGTTTATTTGGCAATCGTTCGTGTATAGTGTGAATAAAGCTGGTGACAAAACACATCCTTGAGGGGCCCCTGTATTTGTTGTGATGTATGTCGATGAAGAATGTTTTAATTTTACATACTGGGTTCGGTTGGTAAGAAAATTGTCTATCCATGATATTAAATTGACGTTAACGCCTATGTTTTCTAATTTCTTTAAAAGGATAGCTGGCTGGATAGTATTAAAGGCTGACGAAAAATCAACAAACAGGATCCTACAGTATGTTTTAGGCTTGTCTAAGTGTCTATATATGTTGTCAAGAAATAGTAAAATGGCGTCTTCCACACTTCTCCCGTGACGATATGCAAATTGTAGAGGGTCCTGGATGGGTTCTATGTACGTTCGTAGTCTTTTTAGCACACTTTTTTCTAGACATTTTATAACTACCGATGTTAAGGCTATTGGCCTCAGGTCATTCATTTCAGTAATTTTTTCTTTCTTTGGAAGGGGGACGATTTCAGAACATTTCCAAATAGTGGGAATAGCATGTGTCAATAACGACTGGTTAATAATATAGGTGTAAATAAAACTAAGTTGTGCTGAACACATTTTCAGAATTTTGGGTTGCACACCGTCTGGACCACACGCCTTTCTCACATTCACACGTCCAAACACACATCTAACCTCACGTTCTTCAACAACAACAGGATTGTTTTCTTTTGTGTCGGTGTTCACACATGGCAAGTCACACGGACTGCCTTTGTCAAAACGGGAGAAAAGGGCATTTAGTTTATTTGCATACTCTTCATTTAGATATCTATCTGAGGTAACTATTGTGGTTTTACTATCTTTGTCCTGAAACCAGAAATGGACAATCACGCCCCTGTAGCTGAAAGCTTATGAGAAGTAAAATTTTGCGTTTTACCCTGATTTGGTGGACACTTTTAAAACTTGATACTTTTTAAAAAATAATGTTTAAAAGTTGATTGATTTTCTTCATATTAACAAAATTGGCGTCTACATGGTTGAATTCGATTTCTTCAAATTCTTGTTGTACATAGTGCGAGATGACCGAGTTATGACCCTTTAAGTGGGTCCTCTTTTTTTTTTTTAAAGACACCTCTTAAGGGCTGGTGGGGCACCTGGGGTCTGTTTTGGCTATTACAAGGCCTAGAGTGCCCATACTTGCTGTAGGACATCGTGTGTTATTGGGGGTTTTAAATCAATCGTTCAAAAAGTATAAAGTGAATCGGTTGCTATGGAAATGGTGGCCATGTTGGATTTTGTATACCTTTTTCAAACCAATTTTAGTCCCTTATTTATTAACTGATTCACTTCTATTTTGGTATGCCGACAGTAAATATGTAGCTCTTAAATTTGGCAAGTCGAATTTTTTATATATGCTTTAGTTTTTATTTTATGACACTTACAATTGGGTTGTTGCAAAAAGTGTGAAAGAAAGGAAAATTCATGATTTCTAAGCTTATAAATCAAAAACCACTCCATTAATCAAAACTTCAATAGCCAAAATTTAAAACTAGGTGTTTTTGGTATCCTGTGAAAGTTACATTGAAATTGAACAAGAAACAAAGCACACACAAAATGGGATAATGTGTGAAAAAATAGAATTGTGAGAAAACAGCCGATAAAGGTAAGAAAAGGCTGGAAAACATGACGTACTTTCTCAGAAAAACCTGGAAAAACCCTCAGCCTGAGGGTGTAGCAAAGCTTACATATGTTTCTGGATATTGTTCAGGAAATGTCCAGGTACTATAATATGTAGGAATAACCCCAGTTTGCATAATTTGACCCCAAAACAGGATTTCTAGGTGCCTACCAGCCCTTAATATCTTCTATTCAGTCAGCTGGGTAAGGGTACAATCGGAAGAATCTCCATGTTTACTGGGCTTTGATTAACCTGTGTCAGCCTCCCACCGAAAATGATGCAAGACTTTTGTGAGGTACTGTAGTAATCATGTCACTGTCATTATTTGGCTGCCGAATGTGAACGTTGTCCCTGATGTGTTTCTAGCATGTGGCATTTTAGGACACCAGGAAGCCGACGTAATTGTAAGATCACAGCTTAAGATTATCTAAACAGTTCAGCTAATCCTTTTAGAAGCGGTCACACCACTTGGCTCCCATAGGAAGGGGTTGAAAATACTATGAGTTTTGCTTTGCAAATTATCTTTCACCACTATTATAAAGGTGTTTTCTGTTTGAGTTTGAGATAGGTACACCCATACGCTATTTCTCCTACAGTGTCGAAGAAACGTTGGGATTTTTAAAAGTAGTGTCAAAATAATGGTGTTGGCATCAACGTATTGGCGGTAGTCCATATTATATTGCTAACCTTCCAGCAAGGAAGTGGAACCTTAACCTTGACAGTTTTGCAACCACAAACGAGCGATTCAAGTGAGGGTTGTCGTTGTTGTTGTTTTCTTATTTAGATTTTTTAAATATCTTCCTACGTCAGGAGAGTAAACGACAAAGAGTACGCATATGTGAGTGTGTTTCAAGCTAGAGACGGGACAGTAGACCCAAACTCGGAGAAATTTCTGCTAAGAATTTTCCAGCCTTATCAGCACGGAAACGGAGGCCCGGTGAGTGAACAATTCGACATTTGTGTGTCTCTATCAGCCTTTTGAAAAGATTATAATAGATTTGAGGAAAACGGAAACCATGCATGAATGAACACCTCCATCGCAAACTTCTGCATATTCGAAACTCTTGACCGAGCAAATTGAGCAAGTAATAATATATCACATTCACACAAACAATGCACACATAGAGAGCAAATATTTTTGACGAAACAGAAAGGATATAAATGGCGTTTTGAAACAGAATAGCATTATTAATTTATCAGGTTTGGCTCGTAAGTAGGATGCTAATTAATAACAGAATCCTTTTTTTTTTTTTTTTTTTGTATTCCACATGACGGGTTTTACCACAGAATCCTTCTCAATACAACATGCATCTACAATCGAAATAATGTATTAAAATTCCGCGAGGGGAAGTGGGAAGTGGTTGTTTTATTAGGGGTCCTCATGGTCTAAAGTTACTGTGTTCGCCTCTCATTCAATAGGTCCTGGGTTCGAAACCTTACAGCAACGAAAATGATTCTTCTCTAAAAATGTTTTCTTTTCACCTCCTATCTTGTCCTCTAATCATGATCTTTAATCTGCTTTTTTCTCATTTTTCTGCCCCCCCCCCCCCTCCGGGCTTCAGACTCGTTCGACAGCTATTCTTGGCTCCTTGTTATTACTTCTGTCTTTCAGCTACACCCCTGATCTTGGGGTAGATAAGATCAAACACCTAGTTTTCATGGATAAGGGCTAAAAAAAAATTCTGGAGATTGCATGTGCGAGTTGCTCACATTAAAGATCCACTTGGTGATCCTAAAATCAATCAAAATAAGAGCAGGCTTCGGCCCGCAGCCCGGGAAAAATTCCAAATTAATTTCTACCGAAACCGAAGAATACAATCAATTTTTGTCCCACGCGCTCGTGTCACAGTATGCTGTTGCCATAGCTGTGAAACTATGACCAAAGCAAAAACAAACATGTCATTGTCTTAGAAGGTGGCTATTAGTTAGAGCAAGTTCGACTGTATTTTAGATTAGTGGGTGGTTGGCGGGTGCTCTGGTGTGGTTTGCTTCTTCTTTCCTATCAAACATCTATCGTCCTTATCTAACCTCCTTCTTTTTTTATGTTTGTTACTCTCTTGTAACACCTTTAATCTTCTGGGGGGGGGGGGGGGGGGCTCTCGTGGCCTAGAGGTTAAGGTGTTGGCCTCTCACTCAAAAGGTCCCGGGTTCGAATCCGGATGGCGACCGAAAAATTTTCTTCTCTAAATTTGTCTCCTTTCACCTCATTTCCTGCTCTCTAGCAATGTTCTGTCGTCTGCTTTCGTCTCCTATTTCTGCCCCCACCCCCTCATCTCCTTTGCCCCTTCCTCTGGGCTCCTGATTCTTTCTGCAGCCTTTCTACTGCTACTCCTTCGCTTCTTCTTACTGCAGTCTTTCAGCCACACCCCTGATCTTCTGGTAGGAAAGATCTACACCTAGTCTTCTCGGACAAAGGCGAAAAATCTCTGAGGGCCCGTGTGCAAGTTGCGCACGTTAAAGATCCCTTGGTGGTCTAAAATCGATAAGAGTAGGCTTCGGCCGCCACCCGGGCAAAATTCAAAATTTCCTACCAACTGAAAATATTAGGTGTGTCCCGCGCGCTCATATGACCTTATGCAGTTGCGAGCGCCGTAAAACACTTTACCAAAAAAAAATAATCATCTGGCGCTCATATGACATTATGCAGTTGCGAGCGCCGTAAAACCTCTTCTAAAATATAAAAAAAAACATTTAAAAATAAAAATGTGTTTTGGCCCCACGTCTTGCCTGGTCCGGTGGGTTCAGCCTGGGCCGGTGGGTTCAGCCTGGGCCGGTGGGTTCAGCCTGGGCCGGTGGGTTCAGCCATGCCTAGCTAGAAATGTTAGGGACAATTTTCAGGCCTTTTCCCTAAGTTTTAGTAGGACTTTCGCAGCACTTGCAACACAATAAGGTCATATCAGTGGGCGCTGGGGCGAGTTTCACGACGACGTGAGGTAATGCGCAAAGTCGTAGCAGAGCTCTGTTCCTTCAGATGTAAGATAAGGATGCTTTATCGCCAGCTGACCAACACCGGACCAAAGATAGGAAACTTTTTAAAGTGTTAAAGCGAAAGGAAATGGTGATAAAATTGCAAGAGCCATTCCGTTATGCTCCTTGTTCCCACAAGGTTAGATCAATACACTGGCCACTCGCTGTCACCTGCAAGAGCCGTCACACCGCCGGGGCTGAGGAGTTCTCACGACCTATTACCACATTCCGGGACTTGTCCCTGTAAGCTTAAGTACACAATATCTAATACATCCCTAATTCTCTCTCTCTCTCTATCTCTCTCTCTCTCTCTCTCTCTCTCTCTCTTCTCTCTCTTCTCTCTCTCTCTTTCTCTCTCTCTCTCTCTCTCCCTCTCTCTCTCTCCCCTCTCTCTCCCTCTCTCTCCCTCCCTCTCTCTCTCTCTCTCTCTCTCTCTCTCTCTCTCTCTCTCTCTCACACACACACACACACACACACACACACACACACACACACACACACACACACACACACACACACACGCTCACACCCTCTATGTATCTATCTATCTATCTGAATCTCAGTAATCTCTCTCTCTTTCTCTCTCTCTCTCTCTCTCTCTCTCTCTCTCTCTTTTCTCCCTCTCCCCCCCCCCCCTCTCTCTCTCTCTCTCTCTCTCTCTCTCTCTCTCTCTCTCTCTCCGACACACACACATACACACACACACACACACACACACTCACACACTCACACACGCACACACACGTAAACACACACACACACACACACACACACACACACACACACACACACACACACACACACACACACACACACACACATACACGAGCAAACAAGCCAGGCCACAAACAAGCGACCGCAAGGGAAGCGGTTGTGCTAGCAGATAGAAAGAATTTTGTTCAACTTCAATTCTTCACGCTGATTAATTTTAATGTTTCCGAAATCAAGGAACAAAATAAGAATAGCAGAGATGCGTGCAGGACATGCTCATTTATTTGACTAACAAAAGATTTTAGATTTTTCAGACTGTGATGTCAGCAGGGCAAAAAGGAGGGCACGGAGGATTTTTTTTTTTTTTTTTTTTGGGGGGGGGGTGAAAAAATAAGTACGTTGAGTCCATTTCAGATTGTCAAAAATTGAATTCTGACACGAGAAAATCAATGTTGTCTGAATACGTAATTGTTGTGTCCACGACTCTGGCAACAGGCACGAATACAGACAGATCAACACCGCGATAGAGTAATGGTATCGATACTACTAGGCCCATCAAGTCCTGAAAGGTTAAGAGGATTTATATACTGGGAGATTAGTCTAGATTATACAAAGTGGGGAGACTAAAGAAGGAAGATAAACACCTAGCAATTCATTATTGGAAATAATCGTTTATCTACTCCTGAAAGAAAGACGGGGTTACAGAGTGAGTGTCTGGGAGCGCCTGTTATGTTTTTTAGTTTTAGTAAGAGTTTTACGGCACTTGCAACACAATAAGGTCATATAAGTGCCGAATATTAGAGGTGTTACAAGAGAGTAACCAGGGGCGTCTATATAATCAAATAATCACTGCTTCCCTTCCTAATTTTGAAACATTGTAGCTGTCAAATTCATCCTTAAACGTAAACCTCTTAAATCAAATGTAAAAACACGTTCGTAACCAACAATGAGTATGCCTAACATTCAAAACAGTTTCACGGCCACAGAAATAGCCTCCTCACCCCTCTCGGGCCACTCCATAAGCAGTCGCAAGCTTTGATTAAGTAAGCTTAAAGTGAGGCTTGAAGAGTCAACCAATAGAGTTGAAGGGAACATGTGCATAGCAGTCAAAGCTGTTTCATTGCCACATATATATACCCTGTTCACCCCTTTGGGGCCACAGTTATAATCTATCACAAGCCCTGATTATGTAAGCTAACTAACACTGGTCGAGTCTACCTCACAAATGTGAGGGGAACTAACTCCTAATAATCTCTTGACTGCTGCTTGTGCTTGTTTTTTTTCCTCGACTTTTTACCGTCCTATAATCAGATCGTGACCTCGATTATGACACCAGCTCCTGGCCGCGAAAGGCTAACAAAAACAGCCAAATGTGAAATTTAAAAAATGATAATTGTCATGTTCTACCAAAGAGTTAGACTCGCTGGTAGATCTATAACATATAGATCTAGTACTGACATCCCTACTTCTTTGCTTTGTGTTTATGTATTCACATCTAAAGTTAAATCTAATTTTAGTTGGAATTGATATTTAATCAGTTACTTTCCTGATTATTTTGGCGGTTGAACATACAATATGAATTCCGGATTTGTTTTCATTCACAACTCAGAGTCGCCGCCTCGAGTAAGATTCTTGTGTGATATCTACAGGCCATATCTGGTCCCGTATCACTTTGATTACCCTGTCAAACAAGTCAGCCTTCGCCCCTGAGAGTAACAAACACAAAAAAGGAGGAGGGGAGATAAAGATGATGGATGTTTGATAGGAAAGAAGAAGCAAACCACACCAGGGCACCCGCCAACCACCCGGCCACTTACTATGTTTATTCTCTTGACACACAACGAAACCTGTAGGCATATTAATTGCTTAGGGGGAGGGGAGGGAGGTTCATGTGTATTTTACTAAAGTCTTCCATCCTTTTTTAAAATCTCGATTTCTACCTCAAGCCTTGCTGCAATACTGACACAATCGAAATTAGAAACGAACTTGAGTACGCACAGCGAAGGAGGTAGAGAAAAATACACGATGCGGCGCGTCCTTTCTTGCCATGGTGACAGCGACTTGAGTAATTTCCTGGGGATCAGTCTTTGGTCTCGGTCTCAGAAGCGTTTGATAAATGTAATTTGTGTATCGTTGAGCACTAAACTCACGCAAGAAAGCAAGACACAAAAGGAAAAGAAAGTAGGGGCCTACACGTGATCATTGGCTTATCTTGTTATTTTTTTCTGCACGAAATTTACCATATCGTGTTAATGTCTTTCTTTTTACTAAAATTGACTCCTTCCCCCATCCCTTCCTTTTACCCGGTTCCATCTCTCACCCCCAACCCCCCCCCCTCCTCCTTTCCCTCTCTCTCCCTCACATATCCTCTCTCTCTCTCTCTCTCTCTCTCTCTCTCTCTCTCTCTCTCTCTCTCTCTCTCTCTCTCCCCCTCCCGGGCCATCTGTAAAGTAAGTGGGGAGCGAGGGGGGGTATCGTGTAACGTGGTATGACGTGTCGTCCACCGGCTTCTGTTCTCTCTCTCTCCCTCCCTCCCTCTAACCAATTTAGCTCGACCCAGTCGGTATCATTATCAGGTGTTAAAATGAAATTCTGGCATCTCAAACAGCCATCGAAGTATGCTTCAGAGCAAGTAGATAGACACGTGATACAACACGCCGGCACAATGTGCGACCTCTGGAGGGAGAGTTAAGTAACGTGCGTGAACATATGGACGACGTTACACGTGTGTGACATTTATAGAAACTAGTTTCTGGGTTTCTTTCCCCTTTTTCTGCCAGTATCCTGACCAGGCCAAATGTACAGGCTTTGAAAAACATATTTGTCCACAACAGGGTATTCACATCACACAAAAACCATACACCGCAAGATTCTGGGCACATCTCACTCCTACGTGTATGCATTGTGAAGATAGTTTTCCCATGTAAGGTTTTTGTCTTTTATGTTTCTATGGTACTGTTACTCCTTTTCTGTACATATCAGGAGGAATTGAAAAAACAGTCACATTGTCAATGAGAATTAATTTTTCAGATGCTCTTTGGCGACGACGGCTTCCTTTACATCTTCACTGGGGATGGAGGAGAAGAGGACGACCGCAGTGGAAAAGCGCAAAGCATGTAGGAAATGGATATTTAGAATACCCCCCCCCCCTAATAACGAACAACTATCAAATGTTCAAGCCAACGCTACTGCTCATCGCCGCTATTTGTTTCTGTATCATTGCTATCATCACCATTATTATCGAAAATATTTCTATTTCGTGTGTAGCCAGTTTTACTGCTATCACTATAACAGTAGGTGTGGCAACCTGCATCTATATCTACTGCCTTGTGGGGTTACACGGGCGTGGGTGGGGGTGGGGTTGGGGTGGGGTAAGAAAGGCTAAAGGAGAAAACCCGTGACAGAAAATCCGGAGGGAGGGACCCTAATACAGTCCAAGGCCAAGATTTCACCTTGCCAAGTACTGGCATCTTTTGTCCTTTTGACAATTGTTGAACATGTCTTTCCTTTGGACCAACTTTTTTTTAAATACCAGGAGGGGGTAGTACGACTGGGGCAATGCTCTGTCCCCGTAAATTCAGCACAGACATAGCAGTGTATTTATTGGGAAGACACTAGCTGTACAAAACGTTGTAAACAACACCTACACACCTAACCAAAGCTATCATAGCGTCGATACCCTGGAGTGAAGACTACAACCTTGATGAAGAGCACCCAAAAAACACAGAAAGTAGCATTTATTAGCTTGGCCAAATTTACGTCAGTCTTGGCAAAAGGGTCGTTACATGTATTTACGTGTATCTAGTTGCAATGACCAGCTATCGCCCGCCTCAAGATGGGCAACCCCCAACCAGTAAAGTGCTGATCCGTCGTGTCTGCCTGCTTCAGTGAGTACATAGGGATAGTTTAAAAGACGAAAAGCAGTTGTAAAGCTGAGGTACGTTGTAGCAAAAGAAAAAAAAATACTTCTAAATTTTGGTACATTGATTGTACGGACCACTTGTCTTGGAAACCATGACCCGGCCAAGATAACCCCCCCT